CTACGACGACGAATAGGAGAGAACAAAGAAAACTACAAAACTCAAGTTTCAAAGTCGTGTGATTACAGTTGATATGATTATGAACAATAAATTATGTTCGAAACCTCGTCATCCAGTAAATAATAATACTGTTTCACTGTGTGATACATCTAATAAACAAACTAATATGGAGTTACATAATTTCACTGTAGATTTTGTTACAAACCCATATCATCATTTAGAGAATCATTCAAAATCATCAGTAAGAGTACTGGACACCTGGTTCTTTCTACTTAATAAGGCTTTTCAGTAATATGAGAGCTTACAATTTTACTAGGGATCAAATCTGGGAGCTTCACTTTAGTTTGTGATGAAAATGTTTCACTTTAATGGAGATATACTTTGTCAAAACATTGTATCATAAAGGATGTATGCTGATAGGTCCTGTATTCTTTTTTTTGTATGATATATGTTTCGCCTCATGTAGAGTATGCATGATCGATGTATAGGGTTTCGAATATGACACCCATACTGCTCATATTATTTTCTTAACCGTAAGTAAAACTTCTATGATTGATGGCTAACTAAAGTTTACAGTTGGTGTGTCCAACTTTTGTATTGATTGAAAACGCACTTCACTTTATGTATATGAATTCAGGTAGTTGAACGATTGACTTTCACGTATTGTTGAAAGTTTTTGAAGATGAATCAAATATAAACTTGATCATATTGGTATCTGTTGCCTGTTGGAAAGAGTGTTCATAAGAGGCAACAGAATACGCAGAAGAAAATGGAGATGGATTGGGCATACGTTTAAGAGGCCGTCGAATGACATCGCGTGCAAAGCAGGCCATCACTCGAGTGGAATCTCAATGAGAAGCAACGAGTGGATCCTCCAAGGGGGTGACATGAAGTAGATCTTGTGGCGAGGAGAAGATGAGAGATTATGGGTAATCGTGAACTCAGCTGAAGAGGACAGCAGAAAATAAAACAAAGTGGAGATGTGTTGTTGAAGCCCTATGTTCCACTGGGAACCCAAGGGAATACTAACAATACATAATAATACTAAGGCGTAGCCAATGCCATACTTGTAGTTCTTGCTGGTCAGCCACCTAGCTTAGTGATGAACATACTGCACCAACATCGAAGACTGGATGCACATGACATTGATTACACCCTAGTTAATCAATCAATGTGTGTCGTGAATCCGAAAAGATCAGTGGTAATGTTTTTTTAACTGCAGTACTCGATGGGGAAGGTAGTTTGGACCTCAGAGGCGGTTACATGAGTTCGGTCAACAAGCAAGAAACCTAGATCCTTGAAGCTTCAGACATATTCTCTTCTACCAACTAACAATTGAATATGTTCATACTATACCGATATTTTTCTTCATTTCTTACGTTCCAAGTGGGATAATAAAAAGTTTCAAGCTTGAGGTTTCAATTTCCGGTGGCTGTAATGGTGGTGTTAATGTTACGGATCAGAATTGCTAGTGCCACATCCAATCTTTCATCTTTTACGAGTTTACTACTTGGGATAGGTTGGGAATCGAACCTGCACCTCACAACCACCACCACAACCACACGACTGACTGGCGAACATTCAACCACCAAACGACTGACACAAAACGCGGATATAACAATACCTTATTGTTATTATTATTATTAATTTTTAACACGATTTATGTGTCAAAAGCGACTTACTGTGTAGGTGTAACAAGAGAAGACAAGAGATTCCATATTAGTTTGTTTATTAAATGTATCACACAGTGAAACAGTATTATTTACTGGATGACATTTCGAACAAAATTTATTGCTCATAATCATATCAATTATACGAGTTGATCACGGATTGATATCAGTTAGAGAACCATTGAAAATAAGCAGAGAGTACTTTACAGCTGTTTCATACTAGTACTTGGGAATCATCGGCAGTACGCACCCACTGGGATTCGAACCCAGGACCTTCAGGTTACAAGTCAAGCGGGCTCGTATACCATTCAGCCACTGGGACCCCACCCGTTTAAATGGCCAGCCCATGAATTCTAACTTCTTCCAATTTGTGATTTAGCGCCGAGGATACCCAAACTAGGATGAAACAGCAGCTGTCCAGTGCTTCCTGGTTTTCAATGGTTCTCTAACTGATATCAATCCGTGATTAACTCGTAAAACATAACTAATCCTTACAAACCAAACTATAGAAAATATCAATTATAATCACACGACTTCAAAACTTGGGTTTTATAGTTTTCTTCGTTCTCTCCTATTTGTCGTCGTAGAGGTAGTAGAATTTTTCAGATATCGGACAGGACAGGTGTTGAATCATTCCTATTACACGTACTTGCAGAAGATAAGAGGCTTGGTAACGGAATGTTTTTTCCCTGTAATTTGATATACACACATATAAAGGGAAATTATATATACTCATATATTAGAATCGTTATTTACACAGATCTGTTTCGTGGTACTTCTGCCTTACATTATCTTCTTTTCCCATATCTCCCATGTTTCGCTGTAATACACTGGTTCATTCCCTCTCTTTGACATCACAAATTTATCTTTCTGTTATTTGATATTTTTGTGTTGATGAATGTCTCTTTTATATACTACTGATAGATCTTGTCAGTAGTACACACTACCACATAGGTGGTAATTCTTCTCACTTAAAAATCATATGAAGTGGAAGTTAAGTAGGTTTTTTTAAAAAATATACATTAGAATGATTAAGCAAAATAGTGCACGTGTTTTTTGCTAAAAAAACGTTTTCCTTACACACTTGCTTATATGACTGCAAATATACACGTCGACTCATTTTATTTTCAATAATAATGAAAGGTAAATATTAGAATAAATTAGATGTGCCTTTAAAACACAATAATAATAATAATAATAATTTTAACCTAAATTCTTGACATATTACAAAATTTGGAAAAGGGTATGAAAGAAAAAGAAAAAAGAGTTATTGTATTCACCTGACGACGACCACACATTTGTTTTTTTGCATTCTACGAAGAAAAGTGAATAGGGCAAATGTATCTTTATTAGAAGAAGATATACACATGTAGAGTAGGTTTGAGTAAATTTTTTTATTGACAGTTGACTCAAATCGAAAAAAATACTGTTGATTATATGATGAGTCTTCTATACGTTTTTTTTACTTTACGTTCATAGATTTTGTCATGAACTGTAATAGGAGTTCAGACAAAATCTATAAATATCATTGGGTGAGCGGGGAGACTAGATAGCTGTTTGTTTGAGGACTTTCAGGTTTCGAGAGATTTTTATGGGGATTGCATTATAAGTTATTTGTGAATCGTAACTTCTGTCAGTCGGTCAGCGATACAGTGTCATGAGTACTAAATGTCTATCCTCACATCCTACTTGATGGAATCCGCTTGTGATTGACTGGCTGACTGCTTTCAACGTAGAACTTTGCACAGACGTGCAGCAGTTCGAGGCGCCACACACTCCCTCCTTGTAGCACATAAAGCAAGAGAAGAGAGTATAGAGAGATAATAAACAGAAGTGTGAGGCAAAAAAAATAGTAATATCGAAGAACCATATAGTTTTATTGGATATTATAAGTCACAAGAAGTGAATGCATCTGCACCAGCCATTGAGAACGATGAGTTTGAGCCATATCACCGATTGTCTCCAGCCTTCATTGGTTTTTACCATCCCGAGGACAACAGCCAATCAGGAAGTCTACACCTCCCTACATGGCTGGTTGGCTTAAACTAACTGTTGTGGATTTCATTGACTGATGAAGCCATGTTTACGTTTGACCACCACTACCCCTTTTCCAACCTGATCCATCCTATGTCAGCTAACATTGACCGTCAAGAGAGGCGATGTCTAGACATGCATGAGTAACACATGTCCTAACCGTCTCAATCGATGTGACTTCACAGACTCGTCGATTGATTTCCTCTCCTTACCTAGCACTCGACCGAAACCTAACCTCAATATTGCTCACCTTATGACACCTACCGCCTAACACGAGAGATGGAACGCAGACACCTATGTGTTACTCATTCATGTCTAGACATTGCCTCTCTTGACGGTCAATGTTAGCTGACATAGGATGGATCAGGTTGGAAAAGGGGTAGTGGTGGTCAAACGTAAACATGGCTTCATCAGTCAATGAAATCCCCATCAGTTAGTTTAAGTGAGCTAGTCATGTAAGGAAGTGTAGACATGCTAACTGGCTGTTGTCCTCGGGATTGTAAAAACCAATGAAGGCTGGAGACAATCGGTGATATGGCTCAAACTCATCGTTCTCAATGGCTGGTGCAGATGCATTCACTTCTTGTGATTTATAATATCCAAAAAAACTATGTTGTTCTTCGATATTACTATTCTTTTTGCCTCACAGTTCTGTTTGTTATCGCTCTTTACTTTCTTCTCTTTCTTTGTATGCTACAAGGAGGGAGTGTGTGGCGCCTCGAACTGCTGCACGTCTGTGCAAAGTTCTACGTTGAAACCAGTTAGTCAGACTTTTAACTCCTTCCCAACCTAATCCTATGTCACCTAACATCAATGAAGCTTCGCAACTTCATTGATTGCCTTTCCCTTCTTACCTATCACTCTACCCGCTCCCCTCTAACCTCAGTATCGTCCACTTTATTCCTACCCCTTAACATGAGAGATTAGTGTTCCATTAGGAATGCAAAACAATGATAACAAAAGTAAATGTCATGATTTTTTTAATAATCACAATTGAATATCTCTAGATTATATTCTTTTATTCTTTTGATTACAGCTAGATTCCACGCCGAATTTTTTGGTACAGGTATGAAATTTTCAGCATGTGATATCGGTAGCCCAAATTTTGCAGGCCGACCATAGATATCGGGTGTGCGTCGGCAGGGGATCGAACCCCGGACCATGTGCATGGTCGGCGAGAGTCCTAACCACTGTGCCACCAACAATTACTACTGAATATATAAATTTTTGCACACTTATTAATGTAACTTAATTAATTTCTTCTCTTATAAATAATCTTTTCTTTTTGTGATACAGATGTTAACGGTTATTCAACTGTGATGAAAAAGCTAGAACATACTTCGACTGGTGGTAGTGCTGGTGGCTGTGAGAATGAGCCAATCGATAAATCACCTATGAAAGATGAAACTACAACATGGACAAGAAGTCGTAAAAGAAAAATGCCGTATTCCTTCACTTCAGACAATGGTGTAAGATCAGTTCGTCGAAGAACTCAAAATAATAATAATAATATTACTGATGATGGTAGTAATAATTCATTAATGCCTAATTCTAATAATTCTAATACTGATGTTGGCATAAATCATCCTGTCGTAACAACAGAAACAACACGTGAAATACACGACGATAGTCATGGTAATACTACTAATAATAATGATGACACTGTTGGCGGTGAAGAAGACAGATCAACAGAATCAATTTCTGAGTGTTGTACTAAATCACCGGATAATTCTCGGCCGAATAGTCCTTTAGTTGGTCCTGTTCTACTGAATTCAATGTTTGATTTAAATGCTGAAGTTTTTAAACCATGTCAAGATACCGGCAGTAATCGATCGCTTAGTATATCAAGTGAACTGGCTTCACGTGTTCTCTTTCTAACTGTAGACTGGTTACGTCGATTTGATGGATTGAAACGCTTACCGTAAGTGGATCTTTTGTAGTTTTCTTTTCCTTTTTATTTCAACATTATAAAAAAAAGTGTATATAATTATATTAGATGGTTGGAGGCAATCGGGTACAGGAAGCCTTGGACCCAGGTTTCGTGCTAGTTGGCACTCACCAGTCAGCAAGGCGTATCTGCAACCTTGAATGTACTCATGTCCCTTCTGAGATTCCAACCCGCGTCACCCACTGCAGTGCTGCAGTCAGAGACGTTACCACTGAGCTATTCGGGCCCGCGATTAACCTCCTGTAGGACTGCAGTGGATACCAAAGAAAGGATTAGACACATCATACTAGTTACTAGTGTCCAATCAAAGTAAAGTGTAATAGAGAAGATTTGTAGCTCAGGTGAACGATTTGCAATTAATAGTACTCTCTGAGCTGGTTGGTTTAGTTGCGGAGCTTTCGTCGTCCTTCTGGACAACATCGCCAGCTCAATATTTAGCATAAAGTGAAATGATTTAAATGAATATGCAATTAACAAACTCGTTAATATAGACAAAATATAGCAACTAATAAAAAGTAAATCAGGTGACCAGAAAGTTTAAAATCTAAGTTGACAGAAAATGGTCAATACATATGTAAAGATGGTTACCAGGAGACGCAATTATATCACTCATGAAAAATTTAAATGATTTCACTTCATGCTAAATATTGCCCTGAATATGTTGTCTAAAAGGACGACGAAAGCTCCGCAAATAAACCAACCAGCTCAGAGAACACTATTAATTGCAAAGTAAAGTGTATAAATATTTTGTGTAATATTAAAGTCGATCGATAAAGTTGTGAAGCTGTATTGGTTAACATGACTAGAACCTTGTGTTACACATGCCAGGCCATTGCCTTCCTCGTTGAGAAATGTTAGTTGATGTAAGATGAGGCTAGAGGAGACTTAAGAATGGTCGAACCTAAGCATGAGATTAGTCGATGAAGTCTTTGACTATTGGTTTGAACCAGCCACATAGGGGAGGAATGTGGAATACGTGACTGGAGTCTTTGAGATGCCTAGAAAGAATTATAATTATTATTAGTTCCTTCACGTTCCCAGTGGAATATAGGGCTTCAAGTTAGAGGCCTGAAGTTTCTGTAGCAGTGGTGTTTATTTTTACAGAATGGGGTTGCTAGCCAGTCTCATAGTCAACCTTTCCTCTTTACCAGTCTTATTACTGGCTTAGCGAGGTAAAGGAGTGTGTTGGTCAGGGATCGAACTCTGGACCATGTGCATGGTCGGCGAACGTCCTAACCGCTGTGCCACCGACGCACTCCTAGAAAGAATGACTGGAGACTTTTGGTAGCTTAGCTCAGAATCGTTTTCAGCGATGATATGTACCGCGAATTGGCAGAAGTTGAAATTCATAGACCATCAAACCCTGTCTCAGTGGCTGAATGGCCTACTGGCTCGCTTTCCAGTCGGAAGGTCCTGGGCTTCGAAACCCAGTAGGTGTGCACTGGTGAAGAATCCCAATTTAAGATGAAACAGCTAGCCATCTAGTACTCTTTCATGGTTCCCAGCGGTTCTCCAACTGATGTAAGCTCGTGACCAAACCCATATACTTCTTAGTATTGACTACTTCTAGGGATTCATAGATTAAGTAAAGGATAAGGTTAGTACACAGAATTACACTGTTGTATGAAAATTGCTCATCTTGGGTGGTTTTACCTGCTGAAACACTATGTGTTTTGTTATGCAATTCCTTACTCACACTAAAGTTAAATCTTTGTAAAAAATGTTTGTGAAAGTGAAGAAATTGTCTGTATAGACACAAATACATTTAAATTCATCATCATATTACATCAAGAAATTGCTGAACTATCTAATACTCCAGTCTGACCTCATTAATGCAAGTTGTTACTTCATGACTCATATGCATTGACTCCCTGTGTTATTGTCATAGGTTGTAGAGTGGTTGGGTCTTGTGTTACTCTCCGTTTATCTCATCGCCTCCTCACTCAATATAACGAGGTGGTTGTAATAAAACTAGACGGAACGATGCGTGAGCATCAAGCAACTGTCGCTCTAATTGATGTCTGTTGGATTAGAAACACCAGATTTTATTTATTATTATTTTATTCCTTTACGTTCCCAGTGGAGCTAGAGCTTTTAAGTTTCGGTAGCAGTGGTGTTTAATTTCTACGGGATGGGGTTGCCAGCCTCATGCTCAACCTTCCCTCTTTACCAGTCTTATTACTGGCTTAGTAAGGTAAAGGAGTGCGTCGGCAGCCAGGGATCGAACCCCGAACCACATGAGGCGTGGTTGGCGAACATTCTACCGCTGTGCCACCGATGCACAGAAACACCAGATAGTGAGGTGATATGACTAGAAATTTATCTCTCATGGTGCAGACATGATAAGCCAAACTATTGATCAGTAATCCAAGGTTATACGTTATCAGTTGATGATGATGTCATTAGCACAAATTCACCCTTTTTTTTACTTTAATTCATTAATCAATCAATCAATCATTCGATCAGTTTTATATTCTAACGCACAACTTTTCAATTAAATAATGTTTTCTATGCATATTATTTGATCATCTTATCGACAGAATATTTTTCATCGTATCATGACGACTACAAATAGAGATTTTTTTTCTCTCTCAAAAAAAAAATGTGAGAAAGGAATGATGATACCTACATAACCTGTAAAAAAAAATTAGGTCAACCTACCTTAGATAGTAAGTAAGTAAGCTGCTTGTAACTCCTTGGAAAGCGTGTAAAGTTTAATCGATGACTACATGTGTTATGTGATATGACTTAGATCACGAGTAGTTGCTTAGTCGATCAGTAAAAGTTTAATATGTATATAAAGGGCTTTAATAATAGTCTCTCTCTCTCTCTTTGTCGATATATATGTATGTGGTATGTGCTACTGAAAAGATTTTATAAGTAGTCTATTGGTGTGCGTGATGTTTTTTGAAAGAATATTGAATAGTGAGGGGAGAGAAGGAATATCTTTGTGAAACAACGTGGAAAATGTGAAAAGAAGACCAAAGAACATGTGCAAATAAAGATTTCGATGTAAGGATTCTGTATTGTGCTATATAGTTGCAAATCACTTTCCCAAATTAGAATTCATTCTCGTAGTGAATACTACCGTGTTCTGTTGTTACATATACAGGTACACATAGACTGCTAATTCTTTCTGGTCATTTGATCTTCAATATGCAGTGAAGGCACCTGTTAATAAAAATCTACCCTAGCCTGTTGGAAATGCTTTCAGTGACGCATTAGGCGAGTTTCTGACCCATATAGAAGAACTGATTGACTTAACATTGGTGTTGAAAATCCGAATCTTGTTTCTTGATGCTGGCTGAGTGCAGAAGATTTCCAAACTGGTTTCCGAGTAATGAAAGTTTGTCTTGTCTTTTTCGATTCTGGGCAGCTTTGACATTCTCATCCATTCTGTCACCTGTAGTTGAAATGGTAATGCCTAGATAGGTGTGTGAAGGAAGTGACCTCTTCCGAATTTCTCCCGTTGATCGTGATTGATGCATGTTGTTGTTGCTGTTGGTTAGTTATCTTTATCACTTCCATCTTCTTTATGTTCAGCTGGAGTCCTGTCTTCACCATCTGCCTCTTCGGCCAGTTTGTTGATTTTCATCCAGATCTTCTAGAGCCTTCTTATCGGTCGTCCAGCGTATTCCTGACTTCTCACTACCCACAACCTGTCGCAGAATCCAGTCCGTTACAATCAAGAATATCATCAGTAGATAGTAGGGCAGCCTCGTCTCACTTCTGTCTCCACTTCGAACGCTTCACTGAGGTTTCTGTTGTGAGTCATAAACATATTGACTGAAGTCGATAAATATTTAAGGCACACCATAGTGTTGAAGCACTTTCCAGATTACTTCGCGGCCAAGCCCTTTTCAAAGAAGTCAATGAGATTCGACTGCCATTCTACGCTCTCTTCGATGATGATGCATAGTTTTAGGATGGGTTGATTATGGATCATCTGATCGGCCTAGATCATAAGATATATATTATATGCTTGACTTGGTTTTGAAATTGCTGTAAAATATTTCTTCCATCGCTAATTGTAAATATTTAGCCTCCTGGCACAATTATAATGCCTCTTAGTAATATTGAAACTCCTTACTTCTGTTCATCGATGGCGTGGCTCATTCGCTTACGCCATTAATTTTCCAACCAATGGGTCCCGGATCCGAATCCTACACTCTGCCTACTTCAGTCTAGGTAGGACCATCAGTCCTCAGAGAGCAAGAAGCGTGTCTCACAGCCTAGCACATGAAAGACAACTATGGTGAGTTATTTCAATCACGTAGATTGGAGGTGCTAGGAATCTTTATTCACGTTTGTCAATTTTAAGTAGCGTTTCGACTGAGTTAGTGATTATGTCGTTGTGAACATCAATGAGTTTCGCTATAATCTCGAACCACAAGTTAACCAAACACTTATTACGATCTTGACCGACTAGTATATCATGATATGATGATCTCAACCACACTTATACATATATAATAATTATATCAATTCGGATTTCTGTTTTCATTCTTTTTTTTTTTCCAGAATTGGAGCTCAACGTGATTTGGTAGCCATTTCTTGGTCTGACCTTTTTGTACTTGGATTATGTCAAGCAGCTGATCAAATTAATCGTGGTCAATCACGTCAGGAAATAAATGACTCACAAAATGATAATAATGCTGGAAAAGGTAAGTCCATCCAATATCATAAGCGGAAATGCTGATGATAAAAAATAAGTGACCTTTTTCTCTCGCTGCTACTTAAATAATAAACAGTAGTCAGTGTAATAAATTCTCATTTTTTGCTGGAATGTGAGGAAATCAAAGCACATAGGCATTCATTTAAATCCCAAGCACCATGATGCCTTGCCACCTAGCATGGTGGTCACATTGCAAACTTGACTGATGGAGTTCAGTCTCCATTAGACAAAGGACTAGACACATGACAGTAGTCACTACCTAGTGTTCAGTCAAAGTATTCATTACAGTTCCATATGAGGTGGTCAATCGCGAACACGACTAGGTGAGTGAGTGGTAACAACTCTGACTGCAGCAGCACTGATTGACCCGGGTTCGAATCCAAGAAAGGATAAGATCGTAGATATGCCTTGGTCCAGAACTTCCTGCCTGTTGCCTCCTAGCATCTAACAACATATAGAAATCAATAGTAGCAAAGTATATCTGCAGATTAGGGAGAAAAGGCTTTATCAGATAATGATTTTTATACAGCGGTTGGTTATGACAGCAGTAGCAAAGACAGGCTAAACACACGTTTTCTGAACACTGAAGTGACTTGTGTTTTTGGATTACCAACTAATGCTTCGGTTATACCCAGATTTCTTGATCTAACTGTCGTACCTTGTGTATGTGCTTTTGAAGGATTTCTCAAATGGAAAACTGAGTGCTCTGACTTTAGAAGATATTCTATTATGGAACTAAAAACAACTTTTCTCTCTGAATTTTTCACTATATATATATTGGGGAGTGTTGTACAGCCTAGTTGATAACGTTATTGGGAAGAAAATTCTTGAACTAATCTTAGTTGATATAGTTAGTTGAATATAAGTTCAGTGACGAACCGACATTAATTAGAGATCACTGAACAGCTGTTTCGTCCCCGTCTAGGACTCTTCAGTAGAACATATTCGCAACCCCACCAAGGATATCTTCAGGTTACAAGGTCAAGCTCGCTGACGATTCAACTATTTGGGCTGGAATTCAATAATTCATGAATCCTAAATTTGTCAACTCGTGAGTGATATAGCGCGCTACCCTCAATCAAATTCCTCGTCGTACCATTGTTCATACACTTGCAGTTGATTTTTTTCGTAATACTCCCCCAAGATTCAGTGCGAATTTGACAAGGTAGTGATAAATGCTGGCAAGCTGATTATTTTTAGATTTTCTAAGGTATTGATTAACTGTGTATTTTTTTTTGAATAATCAGGATATTTGTTTATAATCTTAATTTCATTTTTGATCCCTACTAAATATCACACTAATCACTTACTATTCTTATTATTCAGTAACGGTAACAAAAGTTTTTGGAAGACAACAAACAGCTTCACCGTGTCCTTCTTCTACAACTGCAACAAGTTCTATGAAATCCAGTAATAATAATATTGATTCATCAGCATATATTTCACCAATGCGAGAATCTATAGATATGCCATATTTGAAACCGAATTCTTCATCTTTAGCTGTAATCGAACTAGTTGAACAATTAATGAAACAATTCACTGGAGCTGAAATTGATGCACAAGAGTATACTTATTTAAGATGTATGGTTATACTTAGCTCTGGTAAGTGGTCTTTAATTTTTCCTCTTTTGTGTGTGATTTCAAGTTCCTGTAGTGATTGGATTAAATTTTCCAGGGTAGAGGATCGCTAACGCCGGCGACTCTCCTACCTTCCGTTTTTTTAAGTCTCAGAGACTGACTAGTTAGTAAATTAGAAGCTAGGCGAGGTTTTAGCTCTGATAAACCATAAATATTATCCATCAACATATATATTTGATCATAGGGAATAAGAAAAAGACAGGTGCAGCGAAGAAAATTTTCTTTTCGACGAAGTCATCAACTAGGCTGTACATTCGTGTATTTATAATAATAAATGGGTGGGAAAGTTCCACAATAATTTCCGGTCAAGGGTGAAATTAATAAAATTACAATTAGGAATTAAAATGCCATAGTAAACAGGGGGACGGATAAAACTCAAACAAAGTAGCATCATAATTATTGAGAAGATTGACATATTGTGGAATTGGGGGTTAGAAATGTAGAAATAACAAAATAGACAGGATGTTTGGATAACAAAATCTAGTGGGATCACAACTAATGTGACGAATAATTGTTAATACAATTAGGGATTACATATGTGGAAATAGTAAAATGACAAAATAGACAGGAAGTTCGGATATGAAAATATGGTAGTGTAAATAGGGATTAGGAAAAACTTAGAAATAACATGAATAAACAGGAAGTTTGGATAAGAAAGGCAATGGGATAATCATTGTTAAAAGAATTACCTGTTTATGATGGCCATGACAGGGACAAGGGTTGGACGTATTTCTTTTGGATACCTAGCGTGGGTTTGAGCTTTTGGATGTCTTGTTGAAAACAAAATATGAATTAGCCCAGTTGTACATCACTCTAAGGTGCGTCGAAGGTTCAGCGGTAGAGCGCTGACCGACCATGCCCGTAGTCCAGGGTTCGTGTCCCGGTCGGCGCACACCTTTACCTTAGCCGGTTACAATCCTGACAAAGAGGGAAGGTTGGGTGTGAAGCTAGCAACCCCACCCCGTAAAAACGCTACTGTAGCTGAAACTTCAAAGCTAAAGCTTGCAGCCTTATGTTCCACTGGGAACGCGAAGGAATAAAATAAACATCACTCTAACCTATCAGACAGGATAACTTTAGCCAAATGCTTGCAAGAACTGAAGTGCCTATTAACAATAATGTTGGTTAGCTGAGTCAAAGACACATCAATAACCCTACTTACAGCCTTCAGTGTTGTACGTAATATGACATAGTCTTTTTTTGGAAAAGACCAGAAACGAATGATGGTGAATAATAAGGGAGAATCGGCAGAATACATGAATTAACAAATGGTAAGAGAAGAAGTTGAGTTATACGAGCAGAAAGTGCCAACTTCTTTATTTAGTAAGTTAAACGAAACATTTTTCAACAGGATGTGAGCTGACCAACATAGATTCGAAGAGTGATTGATACCCAGATGAGAGATATTCGACTTACTCCCTATCACACAGTGCTGTCAGTATCACAGGAATCATGCGACTGAATCAGTCCACGCACGCAAGTCTTGTTCACATCTGAAACTAAAATCAACAATATAACATTTAGATGGATTCAGTGTAAGATCATTTAGGTGAGACCAATTGTTACGATAACATTACTTAGTAGGGACAAGATAATGTATGACCAAACTTAAACTGCATATCAATCATCCTGAAACCGTCAAACACGAACTAATTTATTATATTGTGAGCGGTGTTGAGTACAAGCCTCAATTCGATAATAGCTGAATTTGATCAACTCCATAGCCCAATTATTGTGTGTCGGTGGCACAGTGGTTAGGAAGCTCACCGACCATGCACATCGTCCGGCCTGCTAAATTTAGGCTACGGATATCACATACTGAAAATTCCACACTTTTACCAAAATACTGTGTGGAATCAAGCTACAATAAAATATAAAATAAACTGGTTCATAATAGGTCTTAGTGGATAGTTAAGTATTATCTATCGAAGCATTCTTATCGAGAATTAGTTTATAAGGATTTGATCGCAGATTGTTTTCAGTTAGAGAATCACTGGAAACTAACTATAGGGAGGAACACTAGACAACTTTCTCGTCCTAGCTTAGGACTTTTCATCAGTACGTACTTACACTGCACCGCTAGGGATCGAACCCAAGGACTTCAGGCTACTAGGCCAATGTCGTTGATCATTCAGCCAATTGCACCGGAATCCAATGAATTCCAATCTGGAAATAGTGTAAGCTCCCTCATACGATACATATAACTGAAAGATCTCCTGTGATAACCAAGGTTTCGTCACGAACCGACATCAGCTAGGAACGAGGGAGTAGTGGACAGCTGTTTCGTCCTAGTTTGGGACTCTCTAGGAGGAAGCACTGATAGCTCCAGCGGGAATCGAATCCAGGACCTTCAGGCGATGACATCAACCCAGTGGCTATTCAACCACTGACTTGAAATTTAATACACATACTTAATTTATGTTATTAAAATGTGTTATTTTCACTCTTTTTTTCTCTCTCTCCCTTAGGACGCCTTTGTATCAATGCAAGAGATGCAAATTTAGCCAAACAAATTACTGAGATGGAATCACGTGTATTGAGTGAATTTTCTGAATTCTTGTCAACACGTGCAGCAGCCTCCTCAACAACAAATTCTACTGATTCTCAATCATCATTGAGTAGAAAAAAGATGACAAAAAATGTTATTAAAAGAGTTCTTATTCTAACACAATTATTATCAACACTACGTTATTTAGATCCAAAAGATTTAGAAGAGGCATTCTTTTCAAGTGAGTTCCCTTTTTTGTTGTCTTAGTTGAAATGCTTAAGATTTTTTGGGTTAAGAAAAAGATGTCAACTGGGTTTTTTTTAATACCTTTTCATCGTCATTCAGTGTTATTTTCCATCATCTCAGCTGTTTACACAACTGATTTTGATCCAGGGGGTTGCTAAGTTCCTGTGTAATCCATTTGTCTGTGTATTTAAACTCTTAGAAAAAGAGGCACCACTGCTTTAATTTTCGTGGATTATTACAGACTACCAGTGTGTGTTAACAGAGAAGCAACGTCTTCTGATTGGTTGTTTTCTTGCTGAAGGTTATTCTGTGACCGTTTCTTAGAAAGTTAAGCCATACATCCGCGAATCGTATTTGCACACGTTAAGTCTGCTGTGATTGGCTGGTGAGTTCGTCAAGGTTAAGCTTTGTTATTGTTTTCTCTGATGGCCCCGATTCGGGACGTGAACATTGATGTAAACTGTTGTCTATAATTTTGGCTTGCAGACAGCTCTCACCACACCCTAATCCTTACCACCTTAGACCTAACTAACCCTGACGTGCTATCAACCAACCCATTGTCCAAACAGTACTTAAAACTGAGATCAGGATGAAATTTGCACATCAATACGTGCACAGCATTCATACTGACGCTGTGATAATAATAATAATAACGGGGGATTCAGTAATCCAACGAATAGTATGCACCCAAGGTCATTCGTGCACTCTATAATAATTGCTGTTCTTTAGATTGGCCGATCAACTTTACTTCAGATTATACAATCCTGAACGTGATGGAGTAATAATTTACTTGACACGTGCAATGCATTGGTACAAGGCATTCAGAGCACTATGATTACATGTGTAACTGCCACATATAATTACATAAAAGTTAACAGAGTATAAAAAGGTCAAAATTGAAGGCTGTGGGAGTCAAAACATCAACTTCAAGGGGGGGGGACAGATTAATCCTCAGTTTAATAACTGAAGATAACCACACGCACACCGAGGGCGTGGCTATCATGATGTCACCAACGGCAACGAAAGCCCTGATGCAATGGGAAGCGATCTCGTCCAGGATAATGACCGCCAGATTCAACTCCAAAGGAAGAAAAGTGTCAATAATCCAATGTTATGCACCCACCAACAACGCAGACCTCGAAGCGAAAGAAGAATTTTACAGACAACTACAGGCAGCAATAGACAATACTCCAGCTGGCGACATTAAAATACTAATGGGAGATATGAACGCCAAACTGGGACCAGACAATACAGGAAGAGAACTCATCATGGGTAGAGAAGCTCTTGGAGAAATGAATGAAAACGGAGAACTCTTCGCCGACTTCTGCGCCTTCAACGAACTAGTGATTGGTGGCAGTGTTTACAAGCACAGAGATATCCACAAGGCTACATGGGTGTCACCAGACGGGCGAACCAAAAACCAAATTGACTTTATCACAATATCGAGGAAGTGGAGACGCAGCCTACTGGACACAAGAGCAAGAAGAGGAGCAGACGTTGGCTCAGATCACTACCTCGTACAAGGGACAATCCAAATCAAATTAAAAGCTTTCAGGGAAACAGGAGCTGCAGATAGACCACAAGCCAAGTTCAACACTCAAAAGCTGAAGGACCAGGCTACAAAGGACATCTTCATTGCAAACATAAAGGAAAAAGCCGAGACACAAATCAACACCAACGAAAAGGTCAGCGTCGAAAAGCACTGGAACAAATTGAAAACGGTGTGGAGTCAAACCTGCATGGAAGTCCTAGGCAGAAAAAAGAGACAGGACAAACAGTGGCTCTCTACGGACACTTGGAAACTAATAGAAGAGAGAAGGGTGGCGAAACAAAAGATTATCCAGTGCACCGACGAGCAACAGAAACAGGAGTTGAATGCAAGCTACAATGCACTGAACAAAAGAGTGAAGAAAAGTGCCAGGGAAGACAAAAGAAAATATTGTGAAACCATGGCAAACGAAGCAGAACAAGCCGCAGGCAAAGGAGACCTCGCTACACTATACCAAACAACTAGGCACCTTTCGGGCAAAAGTTCGACACAGATTAAGCCAATAAAGGACGACAATGGAAAGTCAATCACCAAAGAGGTGGAACAGAGGAAGCACTGGGCTGAACACTTCAAAAGACTTCTAAATCGTCCGCCACCTACAACGCGTCCAACAATACCAACAACGGAAGCAGAACTACCAATGAACATCGACCCTCCGACGAAATCCGAAGTCCTGAATGCCATCAAGATGCTGAAAGCTGGGAAAGCGCCAGGACCAGATGGAATCCCAGCAGAAGCTTTGAAAATAGACCCAGAGACAACAGCGGACTTGATGACGCCACTACTAGAGAAGGTGTGGAAAGAGGGCAAAGTACCCGAGGATTGGAAGAACGGATACTTATTCAAACTGCCAAAGAAAGGAGATTTGAGTCAATGTAAAAACTGGCGTGGAATTATGCTTCTGTCCATTCCAAGCAAGATACTATGTCGCATCATCCTGGAGAGAATTAAACAAGCCCTAGATGAAAAACTTCGTCCGGAACAGGCCGGATTCAGGAGGAACAAGTCATGCATTGACCAAATCGCCACCCTACGGATTATCATTGAACAAAGTTTGGAATGGCAGTCACCTCTCTATCTCAACTTCATCGATTTTGAGAAAGCCTTCGACAGCGTCGATCGAGAGGTGATTTGGCAACTACTTCGCTACTACGGGGTGCCGCCGACAATTATTCATCTCATCCAACAGCTGTATGACAACGCTGCATGCCAAGTAATCCACAACGGGAGGCTCACGGAATCCTTCGAAGTGAGGACGGGAGTGAGACAAGGCTGTCTACTGTCACCAATGATCTTCCTGATTGCAGTTGATTGGATAATGCGGCAGACAACGGCAACCAACGAGGGAACAGGCATAAAATGGACCGACACAAAAGCCTTGGAGGATTTGGATTTCGCAGATGATATATGTCTGATTTCCCACAAACTGGAAGATATGCAAGTGAAAAGCAACAAATTAGCAGAAGAAGCAGCAAAGATAGGACTTCAAGTGAACATAGACAAAACAGAGGTAATGAAGATTCCTGGCCAACATCAACAGCAACAACCGACAACAATCAGCATAAATGGGAGGAACCTGAAGGAAACAACTTCTTTCACCTACCTGGGAAGCATCGTCTCAACTACAGGAGGAACTGACGAGGATATCAAAGCCAGAATCGGAAAAGCAAGACAAGTTTTCATTTCTCTCAAGTCTATGTGGAGGTCAACAGCATTCAGCGTCAAAAATAAGATCCGTATTTTCAACTCCAATGTGAAGTCAGTACTACTATACGGATCAGAGACTTGGCGTGTCACAAAGAGCAGCTCAAACAAGCTACAGACCTTCATTAACAAATGCCTTCGCTCAATACTCAAGATCAAATGGCCGGAGAGGATCAGCAACAAAGATCTCTGGGAGCGAACCAACCAGGAACCGATCGTGAAACAAATAGGCAGGAAGAAATGGAGATGGATTGGACACACTCTGAGGAAACCAGCAAGTGACATCACTAGACAAGCCCTCGAGTGGAACCCGAAAGGGAAGCGACGAGTTGGTCGTCCAAGGGTGACCTGGAGGAGATCATGTGAAGAGGAATTGAAAGCGTGTGGGCAGACTTGGAGCCAGGTGAAAACTACAGCAGAGAACCGAACGCAATGGAGACGCATGGCTGAAGCCCTATGTTCCTCTAGGAATTAAAGGAAATAATAATAATAATAATTAATAACTGAATTGATGAGAGAGGTTTAGTGCAATAAAAAATAATCTGTGAACCTAAAATACCTTTTAGGCATCAACAAACTTTGGTATACAGAAGTAAAAAAAAAGTCTTAAAACCAAGTGTATTACCCGTCTTTATGTGAAATGCTTTGAGGTAGATAATGTTAGACGTCTATTTCCATGGTCATTCAAATCAGATGATTTTGCAGTTGCCGCCACTATCCTTTGTGCCCTGTAGTCCTAACATGCAGAAACCAATAGGTCCTGCATATGTATATATATGTCACTACATATGCACGGCAAACTGGGTAAGCGCAGTGGGATGCGACATTATCTGTCGTCCAAATACTGACACAGTCTGAACAGCAGAACATAGTTTTCTTTTTCGATAGCACTTCCTGAACAGCATGGTGAAATTTCGTTTCTCTTCACACCACCAAACACAACATCCTCAGTACATACACGTGTTGAATTCGTCTAAACAAACACTTAACTAAGTGTCCTTTTTTATTACAGGGCAACAGAAAATGTAATAGTTAAGATATTGTCGGATCTATGTAAACAGATCGCTTCATTCAAATGTTGGTTTGTGGGGATGATTGGTTACAGGATTTTCATCATGAGCTGACATTAGTTAGAGAAGCATTGGAAAACCTGGGAGTACTGGACAGCTGTTTCGTCCTAGTTTGGGACTTGGTGGAATCCCGGTTGGTGCGTACTGATGAAGAGTCCCAAACTGGGACGAAACAGCCGGCTGTCCAGTACTCCCAGGTTTCCCAATGGTTCTCTAACTAATGTCAGCTCATGATGAAAATCCTGTAACCAATCAAATCCCTACAAACCAACACTTGAATATCAATGAGATGCTCACTAGCGACTTGCCCTATTCAGGTAGGTAGTTACCTGGGGTTCTAATGAGAAGTTGTGACCAGTAGGGTGCAGCAGGTCGGTGTGAGGACAAATACTCGCCGAAGACATTGGCTAGGGGTCGTGCTATGTCGTGAATTGGCAGGAGTTAGAATTCATGGACTGGCCATTGGATCGGGTCCCAGTGGCTTAATGGTCTATGAGCTAGCTCGCCTTGTAACCAGAAGGTCCCTGGTTCGAATCCCGGTGGGTGCGTACTGCTGAAGAATCCCAAACTAGGACGGAACAGCTGTCCAGTACTCCTAGGTGGTTTTCCAATGGTTCTCTAACTAATGTCAGCTCATGATGAAGATCGCTTTATTGTTTCATCACGTCGGCAGGTTATAGTGTATTGATTTCCACTTCTGAAAACTGTTTTAGAAGAATATAAAATTCAAGTTTAAATGATAAGTCGAATTCGTGAATTGCACAGTTCGAGGAGGCAAAACTTCACTACAAGTTTCCTTCACAATATGTGACCTGCTTGATACCATAAATGATAATCAACCAGCCTAGCATCAATGCATAAAACTATGTACTATTGATTGATTGATTGAAATGTTTAGTTTTATAGTACTCACATCAACCAGACCAAAGTGATCTAAGCACCGAATCACTTCGGCTCTCTAAGCTCAGTCGAACCGGATACATCCCTGATTAGGTCGATCTAAAACGAGCGAAATAGCTGTCTGGTGTTTAGATCACTTCAATGGTCTGTCTGCAAGCATTACGGATCGATGTGAGTGGTATACAACTACTCATCTCAATCAATCAGTAGTATATAGTTCTATGCACTAAAGAAGGCTCTTTTCCTATAATCTGGATAGTATTAAAAAGGACAGACTTGCCATATGTCTGTCTGTTATGATCTAGTCATATATGTAGGGTGTACATCGCACTGATCAAGGCAATCTACTCGAACTCATGCATTCAGATGAGAGCCTACGAAGAGTTGTAATCTGCAGTGGTGACCGTCACGGATGTCCACTATCCCCATTTCTATTCAATTTCATCATAGATGTACTAATGGAATTAACCCTAACTGATTTCAGCGACTCAGGGATTGACTTGTTACCAGGGAATAATCTCGTTGACTTAGAACATACAGATGATATAGTCCTCCTCCCTAGGTGAAGACGTTGACAAAATGCTAAGTCTTCTGAACACCTTGAGTTGCAATCTGGAAATGTTTGGCATGCGATTCGCTCCAGTCAGATGTAAGATGATGATGCTATACGACTGGACTAGATCAACTCAATCATAGCTTAAAGATAGGGAGTGAAATGGTGGGTGGAGCGTGTTGACCGCTTCACTTATTTACGGAGTTGCATCAGCTAGTGCCAGCAGGTTAATCGTTGACGAGATCTCAACACGGATACAGAAGGCTCGTTTGGCATATACCAACTTACGCCACCTCTGGCGTGGACGTGATATCCGACTGCTGACCAAAGGGTGTGTGTAGTACTGGTCAGCAGTTCGCTCTGTCCTCCTTTATGGCTGTGAGCGAGACATGGCCATTGAAAGTGCGTTAAATGGAGTGTGGCAACTCGAACTGCTGCATATCTGTGCAAAGTTCTACGTTGAAACCAGTCAGTCGGTAAGATATACAAATATATAAACAAAATATAAACAAATCACCATTTTCACAGAATACACTATTGAGATGTCTTTAACAGAACATGAAATTCAAGCAACCGCGGATATATATATATATATATATGAAATTGAAGAGTAGAATATGGACAGAAGTGATGCAAAAATTCGCAAGTAATATACCAACCACTCCCCCCCCCAATCTATTGATAGAATAAAAGAGTTGTCAGCAATCACTTGTTTGGTTATTTTCTAAGTATTTACGAAACTCAGAAATAAGAATAAGTAATCTTAGCAGCTGATGATCTGTTTTTTCTCAACACAGCCCTAGCGTAAATTTACATTTGAAGTCTTTGTACATGAAGTCATTCAGGTGGAGCTACGAATGTCTAATTGGATTAGTAAATAGAAATCTTTAACTATATATTATAAGAAAGTATAATACCTTTGTAACTGATATGGTGGGCACGTCGGCGGTAGAATCCTCACCAGCTATAAACTTGGCCTAGGGCTCGACTCTCGACCGGTGCACACCTTCTTTTTAATAATAATAATTTGCTTTATTCCAAAACAGTACTTGTGATACAGAATGGAATTCTCAGCTTGTTTTACTACAGTATTGCATTCAGTTAGTACATTATCAATAAATAGAATTCTCAAAAGAATAGACACGGAACAAAGAGTACACTTTTCGATCAATTCATCATCAGGCCCTACAATTATATATACATTATAATGAATGAATGAATTAGTCTTATGAACGACATTAATGTTGTCTAAATAACATCAAATCAATAATATTGATAAATTACAGCTGAACAGCATCAACATGAAATAAACTGAATGTCAGAAGAATTAGAAAAGATAATATTACAAATTCATGAGTTTATAGTTTCTACTGAGGGCCAGGGCAGTAGTAGGGGCTTGACTTGTTTCTTTTGAACACAGAGCACTGGTTGTTTGAGGCGAATTGCAATAGCCTCTGCTGTTTGCAGCATGCGGTGCTTCGATGATTTTGGTAATTTGTTAGGCACCCGGTATATTATGGAGAAGGATTCGTCTACGCTGGCTTTGTGACCGGTTTGCACCAGATGGCCTAATATCGAGCTGTTAATAGTTTTAACTACATCTTTACTTAGCCATAGTGGGATATGTTCTCGAGCACGAAAAATCAAGTTCCTAGAGCAACGGCCAACATAACTCGCTCCACAAGCGCAGTTGAATTGGTAGATACAATTTGAAGTGGCCAGTCTAGGTACTTCATCTTTCAGTCGAGGTAGCACCATCGGTCTTGTGGAGAATAAGATGCGTAGTTCGCCACATTAAAGTCCTTTGAACTGCTTTTCTTAATTTCTTTGTAATTAACTCATTGTATCCCTTAATTGTATTAGTTATATGGTCGTCCTTCGGCCTTCTTTGTCATATGTTTCTACACAGATTAAGGAAATCTTAGTTCATTATGACAACAACATATTGGCATGTCGGTAGCAAAGCCAAAGTTGAACAGTGTTTGAAGGTGTTAGAAAAGTAGGAGCTGTCATATTTACTGGCGTAAGCGGAAAGAAACAAAGCAGCACATAACGGAAAAGGGAGAGAGAGAAAAGGAAAAGAAAGAAAGAAAACGTTTTACCTATAAATGATATGAGTTGGAAAGACGAGGTCCACTTGTTCTACTGACTATTTAATAAGTTATAAGTCTCACGCCTAATGCTTTCTTTATCGCACAGAACACGAGCTAAGTAGGGTATGGTTGAGTTTTTGTACTTGCTGGTGCGAGCATATAGTTTTCTATATAGGCTTCTGGTCCTGCCTGGTGAGATACAAGGGGAGAGTTGTGAATGAAGAGGGTGGTGTGAGTTAGATAGAATGGATTTAGCCCATTTTTAACATGAGTCCAAGTGCCTGCCTGTCAACCAGAATATTAACAAGCTAGTTGAGTGGCACATTGGTTACCCTGCTGACAACCTTTAACACCCTACATAATAAGATATAGTCCTTCTTCAGTAGCCCTGGAGAAACTAGGGGGGAACAATAGGGAATAATAGGCAGAATGCGAGAGTTAACGAATTGTAGGAGTAAGGGTTGGGTTATACCAGAATGTTTTAACTTCTTGATGTAGAAGGTAAGACGGAATATTTTCTTAGAAATCGCCAAGATATGATATCTGCCTTAACAGGTTACAAGCCTGGTAAAGGCAGAGATATTCAGCATGAGACTAGTAACCCCACCCTACTACCACTGAAACTTCAAGGCTCAAGCTTGAAGGCTTATGTTCCACTGGGGAACGTATAGGAATGCAAGTAAACTGGTATAGTATTCACTGTTTTATCTCAAGCATACTTTCTTTTCTTCATAACTCATATTCCATTTACGGTAGCACATTATTGCTAAAGTTATTATTATTATTAAACTTTTACTTTACTTTTATTGTATACACATATAGATTTACTTGGCTCAGTATCAATCGCTCAAATTCTTCCATATCTGTTAGAATCAAATGATCTATTCATTCAAAGTCAATTAGTAATGAATTCATACCAGTCAGATAATAATAACAATAACACTACTACTACTACTAATCGCCTTGCCTCCAAGCCCGGTATAAACTGTGTAAAATCTATGATGAATGAACAAGTTATCAAATCTGGATCAGATGTTGATTCAGCAAAAATTTCCACTGATGATGATCCACTTCAAAATAGTATACTGGAGAGAAATGAACCACCTTCTTTGTCACTGTCACATACAAACCAGACAACGCCGCCACTACCACCACCACCAAGAAGCAGATCAGCCTCATCTGAGATACTCACACCAATTGACTTGAAAGACCAGAATATTGAACGAACACACAGTGTACCACTTTTAAATAATAATAATGAAAGTAATGATGCTCCCATATAATAGACAAGAGATCAGTTTTATACATGTCTTTCGGTAAAAAAAAAATCACAAACAATTTGAAAAAAAAGAGAACTAAGATGATAAAGCGCCGCCCTTATTGCTTTTAGCGCCATTCCATCAGAACTATTATGGTGTACATTTATTATACTGTTCAGGTTTCTACTATTTAATAAAAAAAAAAATATACTTGGAGTGGCTTCACATGACACAACAGCAGAGATACTTTATTGGAAAATACACAAAGCGATGCTATAGAGCAATGGAAGTTGTATACGATCGTAATTTCATTACACGTATATTTGTGTGTATGTAAACATATGTCTTACACTTCCTCATTTCTCCTCCTTCTCCTTCTTCTGATCCAAGATCTTTTCAGTACTGAACATTACAAAAGCGAAAACAACACTTAATAAAAATAGACAACAATTTGTACATTTTCTTCTTACCTGCAAACCAACAGAATGTTGTGAGGGTTGAGTTCTTATATATATACCTATTAATAACATGTATTTCTAAATTTACATACATTCACACACACCCACCCAATCCACACAGTTTATTCCCCTATTATTATACAATACTAACTAAAATACAGCTACCTATCTACCTACCTCACACCCCCCTCTCTTTGTGTGTGTATTGTACCAGGTTTATTGTTATATATACATATGCCCTTTTTTCGCCTGTGTTGTTTTCTCTCTTGATTGATTATACACACAAATTACATTACACAAATGCAAAAATATTGTTAGCAGTTGAAGAAAACTTTTAAAAACGAAAAACTTTTAAATCATTCCTACACAGCGTATATACATAATATTATTCTATTACATGTATGTATGTATGTATTTACACAAGAACTACTTTCTCTGTTTATTTGTTGTTGTTGTTCTCATTGAAGTTTTCTTTCCTTTTTTCGGTTTCATTCAATGATGATTTCTCTCAGATTATTCCCTTTCAACACACACAACACCCTCTAATATGCAGCGGAACTTTTTCCATATATATGCACAAACAGACACCTGTCGTCTTGTCTTGTTCAAAATAACCTTATGTCATTATTGAATAATAATAATAATAATAATATAGTAACAATTGAAAATATCATAAATTTCAATCATGATGAGTAACTTTCATTCATCCTATTACTATTATTGTTTATTGACTATATACACAAGGTCAAGAGGAATATTATAATACTAGTGTTAATATATATTTCAACGGACAAAAACAACAGCGCCATCTTTTGATTATGTGATTCAAGTTTAACCCTGCACTTCGTATACATTAATTAATATATGTGTGTAATGTAGATCGGGAACTCAAACCTACACTAACCAGTCTTATTATTACTTTGAGTTCCACACACACACACATGCACACAACCTGATCGCTTTTTTTGTTAATTTTCACTTTAAAATTTCATAATGTACCTAAACTATTAATACTACTATTGTTGTGTGATATATTATCATTGAATGTGAAGTGTTTTCGCCCTTTTGTTCTTTGTTTTTCTTTTGTCTTGTGTGCCTGTTTGTCACTCTGTGTGTGCGTACGTGCGTGCGTGCTACCAATGTAGACGTGTTTATATACATACATATACAACAACATTCGTGATCTAACAAATATTAAAACTACTAGTATTGTAAATCTGTGCTTACATGCCTATAAATACATATAATATATAAATTGATATATACATACATTCATATACAAAAGTGCTTTCAAAATCTTGCTTCCTATAACTAATAAGTTTTTTATCGTATTCATCATTAACACCAACTTGAAAGGACAGATAGATAAGATCGGTCGGTTTTCGACATAGAAGTTTGCACATATGTGCGGCAGTTCAAGTCGCCACAATCCATGTAGCACGCAAAGCAAGAGAAGAAATGCATAGTATAGACAGTAAACAGAGGTGTGAGACAAAGGAATAGTAATAACGGAGAATAAAACAGTTTAATTGGAAATCATAAGTCACAAGGAGTGGATGCATCTGCGCCAGTCACTGAGAACGATTTTGAGCCATGTCACCAATTGTTTCCAACCATTGGTTTTTACCGTCCCGAGGACCCCAACCAGGAAGTCTACACCTTCCTACGTGGCTTAGACTAACTGTTGTAGATTTCATTGACTGGTGCCATGTTTTCGTTTGACCGCCGCTAGCTCTTTTCCAGCCTGACCCTATATCAGCTAACATTGCCCGTCGAGGAAGGCGATGACTAGGCATACGTAACACATGTCCTAACCATCTCAGTCGAAGTAATTTCACAGTCTCATCGATTGATTTCCCCGCCTTACCTAGCACTCGACGCCTAACCTCAACATTGCTCACCTTATCATACCACTTCACGCGGGAGATAGAACCCATCACGTCCCCAGCTCGATCTGGAAACTAAGTCCCTATTTGAGGAAGAACTAGCTAAACACATATCTGAGTTCGACAGCTGCGCTCACCCTGAAGAAGCCTGGAAGAATATTCAATCAGCCATAGATACAGCTGTAAAAGCTGTGAATAAGGTAAATCCAAAGGTGAGTAAAAACCATTGGATTTCGACTGCCTCATCCGAACTGATAGATGCTAGAAGACTTATTCCGGCGAGCTCCGAATTCAATGACGAGCGAAAGCTGCACAAAAGGAAACTTACGAAAAGTCTCCGCAAGGACCGTGAACAGTGGTGGTTAACAAAGGCGAAAGAGATGGAAAAGGCATCGGCGATAGGCAACACTAGGCAACTCTTTAGACTCATCAGGGAAACGGGTGGGAGAAGGCAAATCACAAGTGAGACTATTTGTGAGAAAAATGGCTCCTTAACTAGCTCTCAGGATAGACGCCTCGAACACTGTAAAGAACACTTCGAGGAACAGTTTAACTTGCCTACAGCCACACTGAGCCTCCCCGCCATTCAGCACACACCCGAATGGGACATAGACACTGGCCCGCCGTCTGTAAGTGAGGTCACCAAAGCAATCTGTAATTTGAAACGAGGCAAAGCGGCAGGACCCGACGGAATTATTCCGGAGGTATTTAAATATGGGGGTGACATACTAGTATATAGTTTAACTAAGGTACTAGGTAACGTCTGGGAATCAGAGACGGTTCCATCAGACTGGGGTAAGTCACTTATTATACCGATTTTCAAGAAGGGAGACAAGTCGTCATGTGATAGTCATAGGGGGATCAGCTTAACGAACATAGTCTCTAAAATCCTAGGCTCAGTAATCATGCACAGACTAAGCCGAACTCGGGAGGAACAAACGAGGGAAAATCAAGCGGGCTTTAGGCCAGGTAGAGGGTGCATAGATCATATCTTCACTCTCCGACAGATCCTAGGACATAGACACACTTTTAGGCGTCCAACAATTGCCATATTTCTTGACTTGAAGGCGGCCTTCGACTCCGTGGATCGAGAGGTTCTATGGCAATGTTTGACTATGAAGGGAGTGCCAAGAAAGTACATTGCACTAATCAAGGCACTCTACTCAAACTCACGTAGCTGTGTAAGGGCTTATGGGGAATTGTCATCTGAATTGATAACAACTAGTGGTGTCCGTCAAGGATGTCCACTTTCCCCTTTTCTATTTAACTTCATCATAGATATGCTAATGGAAGTATCCTTAACTGAACTTAATGACTTAGGAATCGATTTGTTACCAGGGAATAGTCTTATAGACTTAGAATACGCAGACGACATAGTCCTGTTAGGGGAGGATGCTGACAAAATGCAGAGTCTTCTGAACACCTTGAGGAGCAATCTTCGTATGTTTGGCATGCGATTCGCCCCTGTGAAATGTAAGATGCTGCTACAGGACTGGACTACGTCAACTCCTAGCTTAGTGATAGGGAGTGAAGTGATAGAACATGTTGACCACTTCACCTATTTGGGAAGTTGTATCAGCACTAACGGATTGATTGGTGACGAAATCTCATCACGGATCCAGAAAGCTCGGGCTGCTTTCGCTAACATACACCGTCTCTGGCGTAGGCGTGACATCCGGCTGTCAACCAAGGGACGTGTATACTGCTCAGCAGTTCGCTCCATCCTTCTCTATGGTGGTGAGACGTGGCCATTGAGAGCGGAAGACATGAAGAGATTGTCTGTTTTTGACCACAGATGTTTACGATCTCTTTCTCGCGTTAGGTGGTATAATAAGGTAAGTAATGTTGACGTTAGGCGCAGAGTGTTGGGCAAAGAGGGAAAATCACTCGAAGAGGCTATGAAGTTACATAGATTGAGATGGTTAGGCCACGTGCTGCGCATGCCTAACCATCGTCTCCCCCGACGGGCATTACTAGCTGATATAGGTGCAGGCTGGAAAAGAGTAAGCGGTGGCCAAACAAAAACATGGCATCAATCCATGAAATCCCTGACAGTTAAACTGGGTCAAGTAGGGAGATGCAGACTTCCGGGTTGGGGCCCTCGGAACTCTAAGAATCAATGGCTGGAGACAATAGGTGACATGGCTCAAAATCGTTGTCAATGGCGCAGATGTATTCAGTCTCTTTAACCTTCATACTCCTTTCTACCAATACTCATTCTGTTTCAATCTTATACTAATCTAAATTCTATCGATTCTCTTCTCTCCTTTTCCTGTCTATCTTTGTGTGCTATTTGGAACGTGGCAACTCGAACTGCTGCACTTCGGTGCCAAGTTCTATGTTGAATCCAGCAGCAGCAGATAGAACGCAGACACCTATGATCGAAGACAGCTAATCTTTTCATGTCTTCTGCCCTCAATGGCCAGGTCTCACAGCCATAAAGGAGGACGGAGCGGACTGTTGAGCAGTACACACGCCCTTTGGTCGATAGTCGGATATCGCGTCTACACCAGAGACGGCGAAAACTGGCGTATGCGAACCTAGCCCTCTGTATTCGTGCTGAAATTTCGTCTGAGATCAACCCGTTGGGGCTGATGGTACTTCCCAAGTAATTGAAGCGGTCAACGTGCTCTACCACTTCACTTCCTATTTCTAATCTAGGGGTCGGTGAAGTCCAATCCTGCAGCATCAAGACAGCGAGCGAGCAAAAAGACAAGGATTGTGCAAATTTTTGTATTTTTATGAAAGTCAATTGTGCAGGTGGCACTCACACACACTAAATCACATTCGCTTTGTCTTAATTAATTAATTAGTTAACAGGAGCTTTGTGTGTTTCACACACACACACTTTGTCAATAAATATACTAAAATATTGTGTGTGTGTGTGTGATAGAGGAGATAGTACAATAAAATGATGTTTTAAATTTATCACTCTATAAATGTTGAATTAAAAATCACATAATAGTTCCTCTCCCCTCCACCCACCAAGGAGTTAATTGGTTAGGCTGGCTAGTTAGTTAATAGCAGTAGTAATGTCATTCTGATTCATTAAAGTTAGTAAAAAAAAAAAAAAGAAACACAGATCAACAACAAAAGAAGAGGAGAAAAAGACAAATATTATGCATATATAGGGGTGTTGAATAAGAATAGTAGTGTGAGATATTTTTCAATGAACCAAATAATTGGCACGTTTGTTGAAATAATATTGAACCCCAGAGAATACAAGTAGGACAACGTATATACCAGCGGCTATAAAACAGTTATTCGACACTAGGACATAGGCTTCTTCAACATGCAATGGAGCATATCCACTAGCTGCCCAAGCTGTTTCATTCAATGGTATATCTTCAGAGAAGGCAACTGCATTTACACGAGCAAAAACACCTATAAGAAGCTGTTAAAACAAAAGGATTAAGGAAAAAAGAAAAAGATAATATAGAGGAATGTTGTTTTATACTAAAAAAAAATAAATGTAATATTGACATAATTATAATTCAATACTGATAAATATTCATGAATCACTGATTAGCTCAGAAGCATCTGAAAGTGTTGAAGTATAGGGCAGAAAAATAAAGTGAAAATGGAGTATAATACCTGAATTTAATGCGTCAGCCTAAAAAAACTTATTTCAACCCATTGCTGACTTGTAACAATGTATAGAAGTAGCTTTGTGGCGTGTGCTACCGACAAGACTTATACGTAGTATATATATGCAGACTGATAAGAAGTTGTTAAAATTGAAATCAGCGTTCTAAATCAATGGTTGCATAGGTCTGTCTCTATCTGGATTCAACATACAACTTGGCACCGAAGTGCAGCAGTTCGAGTTGCCACGTTCCGAATAGCACACAAAGGTAGAGAAGATGAGTGAAGAGAATCAATAGAGTTTTGACAAGTATAAGAGTGAAACAGAATGAGTAATGGTAGAAAGGAATATGAAAGATTACAGAGACTGAATACATATGCATCCATTGACAACGATTTTGAGCCATGTCACCTATTGTCTCCAGCCATTGATTCTTAGAGTCCCGAGGGCCCCTACCTGACTCAGTTTAACTGTCAAGGATTTCATGGATAGATGAGCCATGTTTTTGTTTGGCCACCACTTAATATTTTCCAACCTGCACCTATATCAGCTAGTAATGCCCGTCGGGGGAGGCGATGGTTAGGCATGCGCAGCATAGGTTGCATAGGTGGAAGTGTTTATCCCTCAAATCCGGATTTAGCTTACGCTGTGGTCATGAAATGACCTCATTGGACAACCTTGATTCACCTTAGGTTACTCACTAAACAATCAGAGCAATTTATTGTCAGTGACCTAGCCGACTTTTAATGTGCTTACAAATGTATACGTCTTTCCTTAACAAAAAAAGTCCTTTCCAAATACACTTATCCTCTACCGTTACAGCTCTACCAAGATGTCAGTAAAGTTTTCTGCGCTATCGTTGTTTTACGAACTATTTCAAAGCTTTTTTCGAATAGATTAGGGGATATTCTGGTTGGCTTGTCATGTATATATAACGATACTAGAGAATTTCATGCAGTCACTGTGTCCATAAGCTGAACGAGACTTTGCCTGCTTTATATGAACTTGCTTTTAGTCCTTCGTATATCTTGTGAAGTCTAATACAGTTAGAAAAGTGTACTTTTAACCATGAAGAATTCTACTTTTAAAACTAAAAATCTAAGAAAAGGTTAGAAATACGTGATCCTTAGTGTCTAGAAAACTTTAGGTTGTAAGATGAATTGAAAGTGCATACCAGTTAAAAAGCATATCTGACAAAGATGAGAGGAAATGTACACAATGCTAGGATCACAATGAGACAGAATTATACAATTGACCACTGGAACAGTACTGATATAACGACATTTCGAGTAATTTACGACAAGATGCTGATAAAATACAGAATCTTCTGAACATCTTGAACAGAAATCTCGGTATGTTTGGCATGCGATTTGCTTCGGTCAAATGTAAGATGATAATGCAGAAATTGTCTGCATCGATTACTAGTTTAGAGATAAAGAGTGAAGTGATTGAGTATGTTGACCATTTCACCTATTTGGGAAGTGATCGCATCAACTGCAATAGACTAATTGCTGATCAAATCTCAGCATAGATACCCAAATTCCACGTAGCATTAGCCAAGATACATCATCTTTGGAGTAGATGGAATATCTAGTTATCAACCAAAGGAGATGTATACTGAGCAGTAGTTCACTTTATCTTTCTTTATGGTTGTTTAAAGTGGAAGACCTGAAGAGGTGAACTGTCTTTGACCATAAGCGCTTACGTTTCCCACCCCCTCCCCGGGTCAAGTGGCATAATATGACGAGTAATACTGACGTGTAGTGTTAGGTGAGGAGAGTAAGTCAGTCGATGAGATGGTTAGGATACGTGTTGCGTATGCTAAGCTATCCTCTTCCTCGTCGAGCAATGTTAGCCAAAATAGGATTAGGTTGCGAAGGAGTTAAGAGTGGTTAAATTAAAACATGACATCAATCCATGAAGTTATTGACTGTTGGTTTTATCCACGTAAAAAAGGGTGAAGACTGTCTGGTTGGAATCGTCAAGATGCTAAGAACCAATGGCTAGAGATTGTCGGTGACATCACAGTGCATACATATTTTCACTTTATGAATCACTGTATCCTTTAGATTCTAATTATTCTCCATGCATTTCCGTTCATCATAGTTTCTTTAGATTTCTTCTCTATCCTTGTGTGCTTTATGGAGTGTGGCGACTTAAACTGCTTCAATTTTGCGCAAAGTTCTGCGTTGAAAACTTAGCATTTAGCCTCACATGAAACGACAATCCAATGGATGAACCTGAACTTATGTTTACGCTGAGCTCTTGGGCATTTGCTACTTCATGTATTCAGTCATTGAATTTACTTTTTTACTGCTTTCATTTTCATCAGCTTCTTGTCATTACACACAGTTCTGCACTTTTGTGTGTTACATAGTGTGACAGCTTGCACTGCTGCACTTCTGTCCAAAGTACTATGTTGAAACTCAATCAGTCATTACTTAATGTCTGAGTCCACTTTTGTCGTTTTTAGTCACTAAAATGTTGCTGACAGAAAAATGTCCTCCTGTGAGGCACCTAACACGACTACTTTAAAACCACGTGTCACGTCAAAGCTTGCAATCTATGTTGTTTGCCCACCGGTGGCAATTGCAAACGGGGATGTTTGCCTAAAATCCCGAACAACCTCGTCATCAATGTATGCTACATCTCACAGATGCGCATACACGATCTCAGTGAATTGCTTCGAATAACTTTTCCATCTGCCAGCGCAAATAGTATTCTTTCCATGCGCTTATTTGCAAATGGGGACGTAACCAATCTGCTGCCTATCGCACTTAACCACTCGACTGGATCCACAATAACAGTTGTTCATGTGCCATTAGAGTAGGTAGTTACACCAGATGACGTTACTACTGGTCGACGAATGGCAGCCCAGAAGGATTAAGGCATGAGTATTAACATCAACCTAGGCACCTTAAAGAGACGTGCACAGCAGACATAGTAATAGCTGGCAACTTCAATGTACAGGCTGAAAGTTGCCCAAATGATCCGTGGGGAACACATGGTCACATATCAGGTAATAAGGAGTTTTTCAGCTTTGAACAGATCACAACTTAACTCTAATGAGCGACAACTTCCTTGACAGCCATTATCACAGTGCTGTCCAGCGTCCCCCTTTAGATTATATTTGCGGCAGCTATCAAAAGCTTGGATGCCTACATTACCTCTCCGTATGGGGCATTTGTCTGGATTTCAACAATCCTAAAGTGTATGCCAGGTCTAACTTGCGATTTGCTGATGATCACAAACGTCGTCCTATACAGGTTGACGTGAGAGAGTTGTTTTCGTTTGCTTCGATATGCTAGTGTCAAACGTGGCAAGACACAATGCTGGCTACCAGTCCTCCAGTTGGTATAGATGAATATCGACTGCATTTATAATATGCCAAGAGTTTAGTGAGTAAAATTACTTACACTAGATTACTTTGAGTTCTTATAAATACCTTGACGCCAAACAGTTCATTCCGACGTTTCACAAATATAGCAATCTGAGTAGAAACCATCCATTAACTCGTCACTGGTGAGCTACCAATAGTTGTCTGGTCTCCAGTATTGGTGCTGACTGAATTCCCAATGACCAATCAACGTATCCATTAGTTCTGCAGCAGGTCAACTGCGAACAAGAATGCACACATCGAAGCTTTGTAGACCGCTGGCATGCTTACATTTGATGTTGGATGTAGTATGTTAAACTGAATACCAACCCATGCAACCCATGAACTTCTTTACTTCTTACGAACCACTGACAACAGTGTGTATGGGACGACGAACATTCAAGTTACCTCCTTTAGTTGCGTCACACCTAATAACCTAACGAAAATATATTTCTCCCTTACAGAACATTCTCCTGCTCTACAGCAGTAGAACGAACAGAATATTAAAATGACCGTTTATTCGAAACCTAATTTGGATGCATCTCTTAGAAATTCTCGCATAAGTTCAGGGCTAGCTACATTTTCGCTAATAAAGCGTCCGTTTGATGTTAGACCATAATATATCAAATGAACTCGAATTAGTTCAGTTCGGAAACTTGCGGCGCGGAGTACCAAACTATACATTTTTGAGCGCTTAAGCTTCGACAAAACCAATAAATAATGAATCTGACACAATTTGTACACAAAAATGAGGAAACCAGGTCAGTGAATGATTAACTCGACTTTTAGGAAGCAAATTAATATCAATGGAATGTATCTACATGTTACAATGTTGATTATGAGTAATGGTTAGGACATTTAAGTCAAGAGTACAAATGCATTAAAAGTCAAAACTTTTTCAAAAACTTACAAGCATGAGTATGCCCCATACACTAAGAAGGAGCAATACAACTGAAAGCTTCGGACCTATGAGCGCCATTATTTAGAATGAGCGCGCACAACAATACACAACTCAGAATACCAAGTTGTTGACTTCCACTTCAACCTTAGTATTAGTTCAGTTACTTTATAGATTTTGAAATACTCAAAGCAAATCCTATTGGAAAATAACCCCGGTAACAGTAAACAATAGACACCAAAGTCAAATGACCTTGATTTGACTAATCAGATAGCTCAGCATGAAAAATGACACATGACCCCTTTTGTCTGGACAAATATGTAAATGATGACAGCTATTTAACGACCAATAAACCAGTTAAAAATTCATACATTCTTCTGGGAGGGGAGTATCGTTAATAAAAGTTATTGATAATGTGGCGGTTAGTGATATGCCTTAAACTCGGTATTTTACGACAGAATAGACTTTTGAGGAGTGCATATTCACAGACTTGTCGAGCTACGTGAAATCAGCCCAACACATTTACCAAATCGTATAATGTTGCATTAAATTGCTATTTCAAGGCACAGTCAATAGTAAGCCAACACAGCCCATTGTTTAATCAGAAGGGACTTCGAAATCTACACAGGTGATCATAATAATATTCTTGTTTAATATTGTTATCTACCACCGACAGGATGTTGAGTACGGGGACTGGGCTGAAGGACTGCCTTTGTGTGCCGCAATCTGCTGTAGCACTTTACTCTAAAGCACTTTTTAGTGCTGCAGTATAAACTGGCGGAGGAGAGACCATGGAAATGCAAACTGGCGTCAAGGATTATAAAAGACTCCAAAAATTTCGTAGCAATATATAATGTACTAAAATGAATACCACTCGGCGTGTAGACATCAAGTGTACGAATTTGGTATTCCCTGACGCATAAGGATCCTTCGGGTAGGGTGTATTTGTCCAGATGGTGCGTGAATTGAGGTGCAACCATGCAACTCGCAAAGTGTAATGAAATACGAAGTAGCGTCTCATCAATTAGATTAACTAAATGACTGCATTCTTGGTTGGTACATTCTGGCAGGAGTAACACAAACCATCATCCATTGAGGAAGGGAGGGTGGATGGTGCTGAATTCAGAGAATATCCAAACGCGAAGTAAACGGAACTGAAGCCTCAAGACAGAACTGGTAACAAACTACCTTATCACAGCAAGGCGCTAAAAAGGAGATTTCAGCCAGTAAACTCAATAATAGCTCTAGCAGCTTACATAAATCGTAAATCTTTCGGCCCACTCGCTGCTGATGGATTCATCCCACCTCCTTTAGTGTGACTATGGGGAAGCCGTTTAGCCAGTTGAATAGGACTGTCTGATTTATCACTGCTTCTAAAAAACACAACACACCTATAAATATGAGAGAGTTGAGAAAGTCATTGAGTTACTCACACTTCGGAAAACGGTCATATGCTACTAGTTTGTTCAAAATAACTTTTACTTCATTTTACATCTTCAAAGGCGACTAGTAAGTCTTGCGCTTTTTGTCGCTATGTTCTGTAGTTTTGCTGGTCAAACAAATCTTTGCTGCACTCGACCTTTTAAATAGCCTCTTAGAATGAAGGATTCGACAAGTCTATGGGGTGACGCAGAAGAAAAGGAACGGAGCTGGTGAAAATTGATGTAGGTTTCACTGCACTTACAGGCATTTTAGTTCCCACTATCGATGTTAACGACACAAAGTTTAGGTTTTACAAGGGTGAGAATAGAGGTGATTGGTCGCAAATGTTATCTGTTCTTGTAATAAAAAACAGCACAATTATATACTGGTAATGGACACAAAGATATTTATCGTTTAGGCAAATATAAGACATACCTGGAGGTAATGAGATATTGAACAATTTGCAAAGTGAATGACGTGCGTGAACAGGGACAGAAATATAACAGACCCACAAACTCAGTTCTAAGTGGTGGCGTTTGCATAAAAATGACCGGTAGTCACATAGAAACGCGATGGGCAGTGGTAGAATAATACCGATAGGTGAACCGTCATCATATCTGTCCGACGCAGTCAAAGCTCCCCACGAAACGACTGCCACGTCGTCGCCTACCTTAGGAAAATTCAAGTGGCCTGTCTATTCTGACAGAAACACATCTCCTAGGCCTCTCTAGATCTCTTGGGCATCGACCTTTGAATGTGCTGTCCTGACTCGGCCATATCATAGTTCACCCAACTACAGCTTTCGGTCACAGAACCCTAAGTGCGCCAGTACTGTTGACTGGTTTAGATCTATGAGTCGTAGGTTTCTCTTCATATCCACTTCGATAATGTTTGAAACGTTAGAAGTTATCTTCGTAGCCACGTGCTCGAAGACACATACGTCATCCGTATGGACCTGTGCTTTGGCCATATCAGCAACCGGCCCGTTGGTCTGTCTAAACAGTGGATGCGGAATTTCATGCTTGAATCTCTTCAACAAACGTACGACCACGGCGCAATGCAACGACGACGCCACTGCTTCTTCGTACAAATATACATATTACGAACCAAACCTTGAAATTATACGTTTGATATAAGTAAAGGAAAAATGGATAGCCACCGACTGATGATGGTCACTTCCCGTTTATACTGCTTATGATACTAGTAAGTATAGTTATCAGGATAGTTTTTCGAATATAGTTACTCTGAACGCAACTACCGAGTACTACAATAGGAAATAAACTTAGTAATGTGGAGTGAGATGTGTTGCATAAACAGTGTAATGTTACCAGGCAGAGGCTGCGTGATGATAGCGCAATTAAAAGTGTTAATCGAATGGATCGAAAAACGTCAGTTCAGAAGCTGTCAATAATGCTGTCGAAAATTATTGCTGTTGTAAGAAGAAAACTATCCAGAACCATCCAGAACACCATTTAGGTACTCAATAACCAACTGAACTTTAATGCTACTGGTAATATGACACCAACACCAAACCAGCATATCGTAGTTAATTATGCGGCAGTTGGATTATCAAGTTCACAGTCGATTAATAGACATACACTGGAAGTCTATAAATAGTCGTCAAAATAATATACAACAATACTTCTGTTCGTATCACTTCAATCTTCTGCCAACCAGCAGATGTCAAAGCTAAGTCAGGGATTGTCGTCTCCAAGGAAAATGAAGCTAGTTCGAATAGTCATGCTCGTTGGGCATTCCTTCAATGTTTACCAACACTGGTGATGGAGATCGGTCAATTTATTGGCTTTGATAACTGTGTGTTACCACATAATGGACTATGCCGGACTGGACTATCTTTGTGTTACAGTCTCATCAGTAGTTTTAGTCCTTTAAGCGACTTGGGCAGGACATGTTATTGTATTCTTCTATGCTCTGTTGGAAACCATAGGCCTCTTCACGAGACCTGATTGCAGAAGGCAGCTGGTCCCAGACAGTACATTATCTGATGGCGAATGGGTTAGCCCTAATGATTTGTTTTTGGGTGGAGGCCTTGCGAATATAGTCGTGGTTGAGTAGTTGATATGATTTAAGGTTAGCACACGCCGTGGAGGAGTTACTGAGACAGCGTTTCCCAACAGCTTCAAGAAAAGAAGTAAGTTGAGATTCACTCCCCAACCATAAGGGCTCTAATTTCAGCCGTGTACATATGTTAACAGCTCGTCAGTGGCACAGAGGTTAGGACGCTCACCAACCATGCACATGGTCCGGGGGTCGATCCCCGGCCACCGACGCACTCCTTTACCTCGCTAGGCCAGAAATAAAGCTGGTATAGAGGAAAGGTTTGGCATGAGGTTAGCAACCCCATCCTGTAAAAACAATCACCACTGCTACAGAAACTTCAAGCATCTAGCTTGAAGCCCTATGTTCCACTGGGAGAGTGAAGGAATTAAAAAATTAAAAAACATGTTAATATATTCCACTTGTTGATCAAGCCCTACTATGCGTTTCCTGAGGAATCTCTGGACACTTTCGACTTTCTTCGGTCCGTAGACCTCAGTTTACTATATAGGAGAGCACAGTATTCAAGTTTGGGTCGAATACACATCTTTTATGCAGCTAATCTTGCTTCTTGAGTGTAAAAGTTACGCAGGACAAAGCCAGTTAGTCGTTTTCAGTCGGACACTATCTTATTTGCATGATAGGAAAAGGTTAAATCTGAGTATGTTACCCCAAGATCTGCGAATGTGTTCAGTTTTGAGGGAAGCTTACGGTACATATATAGATACATTCTCGGTTTCCAGCGTCCAAAGTGGGCTATATCGCACCTGTCTAGGTTGAAATTCAGTTGACACTTTTCGCTCACGTTGCGTAGACTGTTTAATTCGAGTTGGATCAGCGCTCATGTCATCCTACCCGAAATCATATACTGTCTTGAGATCATCTGCCAAGAAGTATGGCCTACCATACTTGATCACAGAGACTGTCATTTGTGAATTAGAGGAATAGAATGGGGCCAAGAACGCTACCTCGTGTTACATCACCGGTTATCGGTGAAGATAGCTAGTGGTTGATTTTAACCAGCTGCTCCCTTTCTCTGAGGAAAGAATTCTTTCATTTGAGAAGCTTTCCAGTTATTCCGTAGGATTGTAGTTTTTTCAGGAATATTTTATGTGAGACTTTATCAAAGGCTTTGCTGATATCGAGAAATGATATTGCTGCTGAATTCCTATAATCTATGTATTGTATGATGTGGTCGAAATAATCTGGGTGGCAAGTAATGCACGACCTTCCACTTAAGAGACCGTATTGGGATGGGGAAAGTAGGTCATCTGAGAGCAAGTACTGAACGATTTGAGTCTTTACTACCTTTTTGCACTACACGTAGAACTACAGACGTGATGTTGATGGGGCGGTTATTGTTGATATCAGATATAGGCCCGTAATAATGGACTGGTACAATATAAGACTTCTTTCAGGGGGTAGGCTATGTCCCGTCGCTTATTGAAATTGAGTAAAACTTGAGTAGAAGTAAATTCATGTCATTACTACTGTTCTTCAGCAGAATGGGAGATACACCGACTGAAATTATCCCGCATGCTCTAGGTCACTGGAAGAGTCAGGCATCTGAAGGTCACTTTCGTCCATTTTAGTCGGCCATGTTGGATTGACGTTTCTTAACCGATCTTTCACGCATTGGTTTTTACGTCTATCCTGCAGTTATTCACAACTTGTCTTGTTACGCATTGATCACACATGTCGCGTTTCACCTCATTTTTGTTTCCGTTGCCGTTGAAATTAGTTATTTCGTTGGTTTCGGAAGTTCTTACCTCCAGGTCAGTGCATTCGTTTC